AGTCCCAAACTAGAACGAAACAGCTGTCCAGTACTCCCAGGTTTTCCAATGGTTCTCTAACTAATGTCAGCTCATGATGAAATCCTGAAATTTTTAGCTATGTTCTGTTGACAACACATCACCATTACCCTCTTACCAATCTTCACTCCCATCCCAGCACTAGTTATAATATGATTACTCACCTGACAATAGTTACCTTAGGTGACTTTTATTCACACCGGACAGACCTAATGTACACACACATACATACAAAAATAAGTATATACGTAATTCCAACTGTACAGCTCTAAGTGAATGAAATGGCCGCTGGAAAGAGACTCTTTGCAGGACTACGTTTGTTTTGTCATTAATGTCTGGATGGGGATTATTCATGCAAAATAAATGACAACAGAAATCATGCTTTAGTACACGTGTTACATATGCCTAGTTGTCGATCGCCTTCCCTGATGGGTAATGTTAGCTGATAAAGGATGGGTCAGGCTGGTAAAGAGCTAGCGGCGGTCAAACCAAAACTTGACACCAGTGAATGAAATCCACAACAGTTAGTTTATGCCAGGCACGTAGGAAGTGTCAAGGAACTTAGCCCCAAGTTCTTATTACTTCCGAAGGCGGTCCGAATCGACAATTACACTAGGTACGATTATTGACTTTAGGTCCAAAACACAAGGACCAATAGGAAATTTTATTCTTCGGGAGTTAAAATCAACACTCTGTACAAAGGGCAGGGACGTAATCAGCGCAAGCTTATGACTTTCACTTACCAGGAATTCCTCTTTCACGCGGAATAATTGTAAGCCTCGATCCCAGTCATGACGGTGATGAAACAGTTTGCCTAACCCTTTCGGGCCAGGATCCTAGACTCGCTGGCACCGTCATTGTAGCGCACGTGTGGCTCCGGACATCTAAGGGCATCACAGACCTGTTATTGATCAATTTCGTACTACTTCGATGTCCCGTCTGTCCTTCTAAGCCATTAGTTGGGATCCGAAAACCAACAAAATAGAACCGAAGTCCTATTTCATTATTCCATGCAAGAATTTCTAGGCACAAAGGCCTGCCTTGAGCACTCAAAATTTGTTCAAAGTAAAGATGCCGTCCGCTCCCGACACCCGGTTAAAGGCATCCGGAAGCATGTCAGCAGATAGCATGCAAGACAAGCTCACTCATCTTCGTCAGCACGCGTTTGCACAGATACGGCTGAAAGGCTGCACGGCCACTACACCGAGCCGAACACAAGTTCTGATCGTAACCGAAGCCGCGAACAAGCAACGACATGCGACCGCACAACCCAGGTTCAACGACGACCTATTTAACTGCAGGATCCTCGGGACGGTAAAAACCAATGGCTGGAAACAATTGGTGATATGGCTCAAAATCGTCCTCAATGGCTAACGCAGATGCATACACTCCTTGTGACTTAAAATATCCAATGAAACTATTTTGTTCTTCGATATTACTATTCTTTTTGCCTGACATCTGTGTTCACTGTCTCTATTATGCATTTCTTCGACTTTCTTCTCTTGTTTTGTGTGATACATGGAGGGAGTGTGGCGACTTAAACTGGCGCACATCGGTGCAAAGTTTTATATCGAAAACAGACAGACAGATGCTTTACGATCCGACTACTTTACACATAGAATATTGATGTTAAGTGAGAAGGACTAGGCAAGTAAGAGGGTAAGTCAATCGATGAGGTTGTTCAGTTACATCGATTGAGATGGCTGCGAGATGCATTTTACATGCTAAGACACCGTTTGTCTTTCTCGTCTAACAATGTTAGCTAATATACGAGAGATTAGGTACCTCGACCATCAATCCATGAAGTCATTGTTGACAGCTCAGGATGAGTGTCAACTACCTGACATGTATTCATTCACACATAACATCATGAGTTTATACTGACTCCATTGTTTCTCATTTCTTCACTTCAATGGTGGTAATATTGTCTATCATACGCGTGTTTATGAGATATCTATACTGCATCAGTTAGGCACTAACTGATGAATGTAGAACTTGGCACGAAAGTCAGTAAGCTTAAATTGCTAGTACTGTTCAAAAAAGAAACCACTATATTCTAAAAATATTATCCCAAGTGAAATCAAATAATCAGAAAGTGTTTCTCTGTTACAGTGATGAAGTTATATCAATCACTTGATGTTACAAAGTGTAATGAATTCTGATGAAAATATATTTACTAGATAAGACTGTCACTGAGTTACAGGCTTTCATCATGAGCTGACATCCATCAGACAACTATCAGAAAACCTACGAGTACTAGACAGTTGTTTCGTCTCGACTGGGAACTCTTCAGTTTCAAATGATGATACACCTATTGACTGTACACTGGTTTTCCAGGGGAACCAAACACACCTATCCCTGAAAGACTCTTCAAACTATTAGGAATTGACGTCTCACACAAACCAACAAAATCACTTCACCACTCAGCTGACTCTATGTCAACCAAAAGACTCAACAATGAAAGAAGATAAAACCAACATCAACTAAAAAATAAATTGTAAAAACTGCGAAAAAAACACTACATTGACCAAAGTGGACTCCTCTTCTCTTCGTCTTCTTATTCATGTATATCAGCTAGCCTTTAAAGGCATCCACTCCCTCGTTCATATCACTAAATACAAAGAATGCTAGAAGCCTGGTATTCCAGTGAATCATCAATCAACAGACACATCGAGATAGACAAAATTTACCAATCGATAAGAAGGAAATCTCACAAACAAAGAGTCGAAGTCCATCTCAAGGAAACAATCAGCTTCAAAACAAAGAGTCTAGAAGGTTTGAGAACACACAAAAACAATCACGTTCAAGGTCACCCATCAGGAGAGATGACTAATAAACTCGTGGAGGAATCTAAAAGCTCACTTCAAATTGAAGCATGCGCTGAAAATGTTGATTGTAGGGCAATGATGAAAGCGTCGCGAATTAACTAGCCAGCTTAGAGAACACAACCACATCAAAAACTTATCCCTGCCACTTGCGAAACGAGACCAACATGCAGTATTATCCTATGGCACAACCACTTCAGAGCCGTCCCCCTCAGTGGTCAGTACTCCCAAAAGCTTTCTAACTCATATCACCAATCAAATCCCTACAAACTAACACTTGATTGTCACTGAGTGTTGCGATAAATAAATTGTTCGTTTACAAAATATGTGTTTTCATGGCCTCTTTCTGATGAGCAACAAAAATCACAGGACCAGAAAAAGCAAGAAATTTATGATTGTTCTCAATACTTTACGGAGATCATTAGCTTAAGTACTCGATGTATCGCCGATTAGTCCCGGATCTGAATTTCATACCAACCTCAGTGACTGAACACCACCATCCCTCATAGAATAAATGTGGCTCAAGCCTGACACGTAAAACACCTATACTGAGTAACCAATTCCTGACTAACAATTAACCGAACTCATATGTCTGTCTGTCTGTCTGGATTCAACATAGAACTTGGCACCGAAGTGCACCAGTTCGAGTTGCCACGTTCCAAATACCACACAGAGGTAGACAAGAAGATGAGTGAAGAGAATCAATAGAGTTTGACAAGTGTAAGAGTGAAACAGAATGGGTAATGGTAGAAAGGAATATGAAAGATTACAGAGACTGAATACATCTGCGCTGGCCATTGACAACGATTTTGAGCCATGTCACCTATTGTCTCCAGCCACTAATTCCTAGAGTCCCGAGGGCCCCAACCCGGGAGTCTGCATCTCCCTACCTGACTCAGTTTAACTGCCAAGGATTTCATGGATTGATGAGGCCATGTTTTTGTTTGGCCACCTGATAGGATCCCACATATTTTGGTATTGACTGTTTAAACTTGCATATATGGTATGTTATCATTCCCACACATTTTGGTATTGACTGCTAATTTTGTATATTATCATTCTCACGCATTTTGGTAGTGACTGCTAATTTTGTATATTATCATTCTCACGCATTTTGGTAGTGACTGCTAATTTTGTATATATGGTATATTATCATTCCCACACATTTTGTTACTGACTGTCAATGTCGCACATATGGCATATTATCATTTCTCACACACTTTGTTATTGGCTATTAAGGTCAATTATTTCAAATGCTGTTAGCTGTCCATATTGTTGTAAAATGTATAAATACCATGGCTTTCTTTATCGTTGTTGCACTTCAATACACAGTCACAGTCCAGCCTTTGTCTTTTGATATTTGCGTGCTTTACTAAGTCGGAAGGTACGACAAGCAGATAGACAGATTAGTTCAGGCGCAGACAGAATAAGGTGAAAACGTCTTCATTCAATTCCCTACAGTTATAACAAATTGGCGACGGGGTTTTACCTTAATTCATTGCAGTTATAACAAATTGGCGACGGGGTTTACTTAATTCATCGCAGTTATAGCAAGCAAACGACGACAGTTTTTATTCTGTTCAGCGCAGCTATATAACATTTTTGACTGTGTTAATTACAACCCAATTACAATGTCTATCTCTCTGGACGATCTCAAATCTATCTTGCAGCAGCAGCAAGTTCAGAATGAAGCAGCTCAACTAAAATTAATCGAAGCTCTCACTCAGAAGCTGTCCATTCAAGTTCCATCAACATCTCATTCTGACAAATATGAAAGCATCTCAAATTCCATCAGTGAGTTCAACTACGACCCAATATCTGGTCTCGTATTTGATGCATGGTTCAATCGTTACGAAGATGTTTTCCGTATTGAATGCTACATGTTTGATGATGCTGCCAAAGTCCGATTGTTACTAAGAAAACTTGGTACTGTTGAGCACAACAGATATGTTAACTTCATTCTGCCTAAGAACCCACGTGAGTTATCATTCGATGAGACAGTCACCGTTTTATCACAAATCTTTGGTGAACAGTCATCCATGTTTAATATTCGGTATCAATGTTTTCAGTTGACAAAAATGCCTTCCGATGATTATGTGACTTACGCTGGCAAAGTGAACAAGGAATGTGAAAGGTTCAAACCACACGAAATGACATCAGATCAGTTCAAGTGTTTGATTTTTATTTGTGGGTTGAAGAACCCAGAAGATACTGACATACGAACTCGACTTCTGTCACTTGTGGAACAAGACCCGAAAATGACCTTACAAATGGTGACAGCAGAATGCCTACGTTTAATCAACTTGAAGCACGATACTGCTATGGTGGAGTGCAAACGACAGTCGTCTGAATTTGGTTCGATTAACACAGTGAAAAGTCCTCCGATCACCGTTAAGCACACAGCACGTCAGTCTCAGAATTCAGCTAAACCTCCTTCAGTGTGCTGGCACTGTGGTTCGTGGCATTTTGTCAAGTTCTGTCCTTTCAAGAAGCATAAATGCCGTAATTGTCACCGTTTTGGACATAAGGAGGGTTACTGTCCACCGCAGAAAAATCCTTCGGTGAGGAACAGAAGTAGTCGTTTCGAGCCGAAACAATCTCCTCGAGTACAGACTATTTATACAACTTCCAAAGTCGAGTTCGCCAGCAAACGTAAGTACATAACACTAGATATTAATGGCAAACGTATTCGTCTTCAGTTGGATACGGCATCAGATATCACCGTAATTTCCCGAACTACGTGGCGCAAACTTGGTTGCCCACAGATTCTGCCGACCGAGCATGTCGCCAAGAATGTCTCTGGAGATAAACTGAAACTCGTGGGTGAGATCAATTGCCAGGTTCAGTTTGGTGAGCATCACTTCAATGGTGTATGTTACGTTACAAACTACCATGATTTGGATTTGCTTGGTCTTGACTGGTTAGACAAGCTCCATATCTTTAATGTACCATTAAATTCAGTATGCTCTAATGTTTCGTCTTCACCACACAACGTTGTTCCCGGAGATGTATCTGATCAATCTCTCTTGCAACGCCGTCGTCAAAAGCACGCTTCTGTCTTCCAGGACAAACTTGGTTGCTGCAAACTGTTTGGCATCCAGCATATTCGTAGCCCCCCGTATCATCCCCAATCGAATGGACAGACTGAACGTTTCGTCGACACCCTTAAGCGTGCTTATGCAAAAGCGAAGGGGGAGGGAACAACAGAAGAAATTTTGGATAAATTCTTGCTGCATTATCGTACGAATGAAAAAGGACAGTTATGTGTCAGACACACAGATCACGCTCTATCCAGTACCACGCAAAGGTCAACTCGACAAAGAAGAGCTCCGAAACCTTTTCAAATAGATCCAAAAAGCAAGTCCTACACTCTTTACGGGGGGAGGTGATAGGATCCCACATATTTTGGTATTGACTGTTTAAACTTGCATATATGGTATGTTATCATTCTCACACATTTTGGTATTGACTGCTAATTTTGTATATTATCATTCTCACGCATTTTGGTAGTGACTGCTAATTTTGTATATTATCATTCTCACGCATTTTGGTAGTGACTGCTAATTTTGTATATATGGTATATTATCATTCCCACACATTTTGTTACTGACTGTCAATGTCGCACATATGGCATATTATCATTTCTCACACACTTTGTTATTGGCTATTAAGGTCAATTATTTCAAATGCTGTTAGCTGTCCATATTGTTGTAAAATGTATAAATACCATGGCTTTCTTTATCGTTGTTGCACTTCAATACACAGTCACAGTCCAGCCTTTGTCTTTTGATATTTGCGTGCTTTACTAAGTCGGAAGGTACGACAAGCAGATAGACAGATTAGTTCAGGCGCAGACAGAATAAGGTGAAAACGTCTTCATTCAATTCCCTACAGTTATAACACCACCAGTGGCTCTTTCCCAACCTGCACCTATATCAGCTAGTAATGCCCGTCGGGGGATAATCAAGACTGGAAACTAGCAGTACATTTTTCTTGTGTTTACTGCTCTAAGGTTTGGCTCAAAACCGCTTTACACTAAGCAGTATCCATGTTATTGAACTTATGTTTTAACATCCTCAGGAGTGGGTTTTCAGCAACCACTTTTCATGTCCCCATAAAACTAAATCTCATCAATAATGAAACTGTCATATTTTAGAATGATGACTGAGTGAATTTCAGCATAAAACTTTACATAGAAATGCAACAATTTAAGTTGCTACACTCCATGCAGTACACAAGGTGGACAAACCAGAGCGAAAGAAATTGAAAAGAACTACAATGAGCGGAAATGCGCAACGGAAAGAATAGTAACATAGAAAACCAAGACGACTTCGTGGATACCAGAGATGAGGAAAAGGGGATGCATCTGCACCATTAAGAATGATATTAAGCTGTATGATCAACAGTTTCTAGCCATTGGTTCTCAGTATCGCGATTAACCTTTCAGTTGCTAATTTCCGTTATAATTATTATTATTGTTCCCTTGGTTTCCGAGTGGAACATAGGGCTTCAACATGGTTCACGATTGACTATGATCTGTTATTTCCTCCTCGCATGATCTCCTCCATGTCATCCATCCTAGGACGACCCGCTCGTTGCTTCCCATTTGGATTCCATTCGAGCAATGGCCTGCATTGTGCCCGATATCATTCTATGGCCTTCTCAATGTATGCCCGATCAATCCATCTCCACTTTCTCCTACATATTTGTTTAGCGATAGACTCTCGCCCAATGGTTCGCTGTCAGAGTTTCTTGTTACTAATTCTTTCTGACTGACCATTTGATCTTTGGCACAGAGCGAAGGTGGTGGCAGCTGTTAATGAAAGTCTGCAACAAGCTGTTGGAAATCCTTTTCGTGACACACTGGCCAAGTTTCTAACCTGTATAGAAGGACCGACTTGATACTGGTGTTGAAAATGCGAATCTTGTTCCATATAGCGAGTCAGTGCAGAAGATTTACAAATCGGTTTCAGGTTGATGTAGGCACTTCGTGCCTTTGCAACTCTTACTGGCAGGCTTTGACCTCTTTATCCGTTTCGCATGTAGTTGAAAGATGCTTCCCAGATAAGTGAAGAAGGCAACCTCTGTTGAAACCTCTTCCGTTGATGGTGATTGGTGTTTGCTGTGTGATGATGATGTTGACTGATTATCTTCATCACCTGCATCTTCTCTATGTTCATATGGAGTCCTGTTTTCGTTGGCTGCTTCTCTTCAGCCAGTTTGACGGTTTTCGCTTGCAATTCCTGTTTTCGCAAATAACCCTAATAACCAAATCACGATAATCAATGGATGACACAGATATGCACGGTTTTCCCTACTTTTATATGAGTTTCTAAACCGATAATGTGCTAGAGCAATTTCAAATTTCTTAAAAGAATCGCAAGAACACAGAAGTGACTATCAACAAAATGCCAGAATAAAAATCTCATTAGTGAGCATCATATCCAGCTGCAAGAGAGAAGTCTAGTCGTAATAACCTGACTGAATGAGTCTCAACTAACTTCAACTTAATTCGATAACATGTCGAGATAAAGCTGTTTGGAATTAGCGAAGAAAATGGACAAAAAATTGACTTACCATATCAATAGCCTCCTGAAGAATTGGTTCTGCTTCAACCCAATTATTCATACCCATTAATGCTGCAGCTTGACCATTCAGAAGTAGGCTAGAGGGTCCATGTTTTTCTTTGAGTTCCTCATATATGTGAAGAGCCTCTTGTAATTGATCTCCACCCTGAGACAAACAAACAAAAATAAAAAATTATTTCCAGAGTGAAATATATATACAGCATCGAATAGTAAAAATAAATTTCACAACATAAGGAATGATGGAAAGAACTTACTTTTTTAGTTTTACTAGTTGATCACGGATTGATATCAGCTAGAGAACCACTGGAAACCAGCCACAGGGAGTACTGGACAGCTTTTTTATCCTAGCTCGGAAATCACCGGTAGTACGTACCCACGCTCGCTTGTAACTTGCTAGAGGATGGAGTTTCCTGCACTTTTAGTGAGAAGCCGTGACCAGTGTGAGGATGGATGTCCTACCTAAGACAATGGTTGGGGTAGTGGTAGTAGTTAGAATTCATGGGCTAGCCATTGAATCTGGTCCCAGTGGTAGCTGAATGGTATACGAGCCAGCCTGCCTAGTAACCGGAAGGTCCTGGGTCCGAACCCCATTGTGGTGGTTGCGTACTGCCGATGATTCCCAAAAAACTAGGATGAAACAGCTGACTGTCCAGTACTCCCTGTGGCTGGTTTTTAATGGTTCTCTAACTGATATCAATCCATGATCAACTCCTAAAAACAAAACTAATCCTTATACACAAAACTATAGAAAAGAACTTACTTTCTTTAAATAATACAACGCTGAAACAAGTTGTGCTGGCAGTGAATCTTCATCAGCAGTTTGCATACGTCGAACAGCCTTCCCAGCAAGATCACAACGATTCATGTGAAGTAAACACTGAATAGTTAATGCATTGCTAAAAATTTAAAAGGGTTTATGTATAATGTGATTATTCAGTATGCTATTTATGGAAAGTACGAATACACTACTCTAATAAATATAACATTAAAAAGTTTGCTTACACATAGATATTTTATGTATATATATATATATATATATATATATATATATATATATATATATAGAGAGAGAGAGAGAGAGAGAGAGAGAGAAACCTGATTGGTGTGACTCACTGACTGACACAGAGCACACACCCTATGGTAACTGAAACTGATGCTATCTTTCTTACACTATGCCGGGGGTCTGAGGGCGAAGTCGTACTGCTGGGGAACAAGGTTGTAACGGCAGTAAGGTGTTTCCCCCAGATGACCAGCATGCCAGCCAGCTATGCTGTCTCTCCACTCCGGAGAGAGGGAGTTAGAAAAGGTAGACCCCGAAAATTATACATCCCGACTTACCCTACAGTGATCTGTAATCGGCAGTAAGTTTACTAGTACGGAACCAATCCCAGAAGCCAGTTCATACAGGCCGTGTATGACCGGCCTCAAGCAGTTGTCCCTGGGCTCTGCGGTCACGCAACACTAACCCTCTTTCCGTTTCAGGTACCCGAAGAATCAGCCAACTTCCACGGTGTCGGCAGCCAGGAAATAACATCCGCCCACACACTTCCAATACCACACGAAGCCTTCCTGAGCATCATTCTCCTTTACACTCCATATGGCAGATAACACAGAATGAATACATTTTCACCAGTACAATGATGATTTTCAGCCATATCACCCATTTATCTCCAGTCTTCATCGGTTCTTAGAATCCCGAGGACCCCCAACCAACCAAAACGTCTACACCTCCCAACGTGGCTGGCTTCAGCTAACTGTTAGGGGTTCCATTGACTGATTCCGTGTTTTCATTAGCCCACCATTAGCCTTCTCCTAATCTACTCTTATGTCAGCTAACACTGCTTGTCGAGAAAGGCAATGAATAGGAACGAGTAACGTATGCCCTAACAATCTCAATCGATGTAGCTTCACAACATCATCAACTGATTTTCTTTACTTACTTAATAGTCAACAACAAACCCCAATTTTACTTAGCCTAAAACAGGAGATAGAATACAGACATCTCTGAGCAAAGACAGTTAGCCTTTTTTCGTCTTCCACTTTCAATGGACATGTGCCACACAGACATTAAAGGAGGATAGGGAGAACAATTGAGCATCAAAGTGTTTGGCGTGATTAAAGCAAAGAAGAATGATGCAACAGCCCTTTAAAGTTTAATTTACCAGGCTAAGCGTTACACTTGATTTGAAAAATGAAATGTAACTATCCCACTTTTGAGGCATCTATATTTGTGATTCACAGATTTTCTATTTGAATAAACTTTATGACTGTGAGACCTGGACATTGAAAGTGGAAGACATGAAAAGCCTGGCTAGCTGTCTTTGATCAGAGGTGCCTGCGCTCTATCTCCCCTGTGAAGTAGTATAATAAGGTGAGCAATATTGAGGTGAGGAGTAGGTTGAGTGCTACGTGACGAGGGCAAATCAGTAAACGCGTCTGTGAAGTTACATCGTCTGAGACGGTTAGGACATGTGTTACGCATGCCTAGCCATCGCCTTCCTCGACAACTGGCAATGTTAGCTGACATAGAGTCAGGTTGGAAGAGAGCCAGTGGTGGTCAAACCAAAACATTGCTTCATCAGTCAATCAAATCCACAACAGTTAAAGTCACGTGGGAAGGTGTCGACTTCCTGGTTGGCGTTTTCGAGACGATAAAAACCAATAATAGCTTGAGACAATTGGTGATACGGCTCAAAATCGTTCTCAATGGCTAATGCAGATGCATCCGCTCCTTGTGACTTACAATATACAATAAAACTATATTGTTCTTCGATATTACTATTCCTTTTGCGTGACCTCTACGTTTACTGTCCCTATTTTGCATTTCTTCTCTTGCTAGGATTGTGGCAACTGGAACTGCTGCACATCGGTAAAAATTTCTACGCTGAAACCAATCAGTCGATTTCGAGTTCTGACTCCTTAAACGGATGCACTTTTGTGCATAGTTCTACAGTAAACCGTCAGTTAGTCAGCTATAACTTTCCAGTTCCATTGAGTCGGTAGCCGACGTGCAAAAAAAGGTAACGTTGGACAACATAATACGACACTATCATAAATCGGAGAGAGAGGCAGTCGACATGGATATGGATGTCAAAACTAGGCAGGAACAGAAAGGCAAGATGGGCATTCATCACTCTGAAATCAGTTTGGTAATCTTCTCCACTCCTCCTCAGCATAAACAACAATCTTCGGGTATTCATGTTAAGTGAATCAGTCACTTCTTGTACACGGGTCAGAAACTTGGCTAGCGTGTCACAAAAAGGATTTTTTTAACATTCTACTTGAAACTTTTACCAACAACCGGAAAAGAGCCAGTGGTGGTCGGACCAAAATATGGCTTCATCAGTCAATGAAATCCATGACAGTTAGTTTGAGCTAGCCAGTCAGCCAGGTACGGAAGTGTAAACTGCCTGACTGGCTGCTTGGGGTCCTCGGGTTGGTTAAAACCAATGACGGCTGTAGACAATTAGTGGTATGGTTCACAAACATTCTCGATGATGGTGCAGAAGCAACCACTCCTTATGACATAATATCCAATAGAACTATTGTTTTTCCATATTATTATTGTTTTCGCGTGATATTTCTATTTGCTGTCTCTATTTTGCATTTCTTTTTTATTTCTTGTCTTGCTACATGGAGTGTGGCAACTCTAACTGCTGCATTTCGGTGAGTTCTATGTTTGACCAGGGACTGATATCAGTCACAGAACCACTGAAGGTCAAGGACTACTGCCAAATAGTTACTTCGTCCTAGTTTGGGAATCATCAAAGGTACGCACCCACTGGGGTTTGAACCAAAGACCTTCTGGTTACAAGGCAAGCTGCTCGTATACCATTCAGCCACTGGAACCCAACTCAATGGCTAGCCCATGAATTCTAACTTCTACCCATTCGTGATTTAGTACGACTAGCACCAACCAATGTCATCGGTGGGAACTCCATTTTTACTCCTGAATGGATGAATCTCATTGGTTACAACTTCTCATTAGAAGTGCAGGAAACTCTGTCGTGTAGCAAGTCACTAGCGAGCAAAGTTCTATGTTAAAACCAGTCAGTCATTTTAATGAACGCAAGGTAGGAACAGTTACGAGGCCATATCAGGAAGATATAAAAACCAAGCAAAATCAGTTTATTTCACAGGCTAGGCAAGAAAACACACCTGATGTTGAAAGACCTTAAGCCTTTTCCTATAAACACACTGAAATAAAATTCTTAAGAGCATACACTTTGGGGACATAATATGGTTCTATACACCGATGTAGCTCTTTTAAGACGCCTGAAGTTGAAAACTACCAAGGAATCATAGTCTCACATTAAGTCCTCGAGGTGTAAGATAGTCACTCACCAATATGTATCATTTGCATTATTCAAGATCTTCAAAGCGCTTTCCAACATCTAAAAATTCAGACTTATTAAGGTGAGCCATCTTACGTTTATATTCATATACATAGTAGCTGCGATTGCGATCAAATTTTGGTTTGGATCCACTTGCCGTTCCACGATTGCATCAAGTTCATTCGTTGCAATTTGCCTTAAAATATATTATGATTATACGGTCCTACTCTGATATAGTTCCAGAAAAGTATTTAGCCATCAGACGAAGAATTTTTAGCTCTGCATCACCTGTGTCTTCTGGTATTTCGTCCAGCACAACTCCGTACTTCTTCTGGGCTATATAAACTTGATATGTTAGGATATTAGACAGCATTTCTGTCTCAGGTGAACTCGACTTTATTACATATATATTATTCGTAAAGTAGATACCTTCAACTTTTGCAGTGTTTTAAGTGCTAACTGATAATGCCCCAGCATAAAAGCATACTGAGCATCCACAAGGATTATATCGTCACTCATGTTGAGGATGCCAACTGACACTTAAGTAGCACAAACTTTGAATAACCGCTATGAAGCACACTTCAATCCTTCAATTTCCTATTTATGAGACAGTTAAATTTAAGTTGACATTTTTAGCCCATTTATTGGAGTTGATGAGTGCGATTTCTATTTTATTTGGCAGGAGGGGTACTTTGTAGTTCTTCCTACCTTAAGTTTGTCGTAACTTTTGCAACATGTTGAGAGTTACATATTCTTTGACTTAAAGTACGTGGTCTGTGTTAAAGTGTATCCTCAATGTGGTCAGAGTTAATTGTTCCGCTACTCGGCTGCCCATCACCCTCCAAAAATAAAGTAATAATATATTCAGGATGCCGAATATTTAAATTCTGAAAATGGTCATTTAGATGAAAATAAGTATAGTATAGCAAATGCAAAATAGTCAGAAAAATTAGATTAGAAAGGCTGTGGGGTCTCTTCAGGGTGTTTTGATGAAAACGCATCACACCTCATTCTGGTCGAAAGGGCAGTCTGATGTACTGAATCCATCTAATGCTGCATGACTAACCAGAGTCTACTTTATAATATCTACGAGCGCTCTCAGGTAGCTTCAGGGGCGGCAAAAGCAATGTGATGAGAAACTGAAGTGCGCTCTGGGCCTTACTGCCTAACGAGTCATCTATCATGCGATGAATTTAAGTGGTCCATAATAATCTGATGTCAACGCCACTTCGCCTATGTGACGCTGGTTATTTCCGGCCTTGTAAGCAGTGACTAGGTTACATAGTAACAGCCAAGTGTACACAGACTTCCTTCTCCGCATTCTCACCTGCTTTGAAAGTTCACAACCTTATTTGCCGCATTTTGCTTCATTCTTTCCCGGAGGACAGTGTCCCATATTTTCGTGATGGTGAAGCGACGGTATGATTCGTCCAAAGACGAGGTCATGCGTAAGTTTGAGTAGCTTTAGAAAGAGTCCTGGTGTGTGCTTGCCAAGCACCCTGTGCATAGAGTATATAACCACATCTGCCCTCGTCGTGTATGTGGCATAGTTAGCATTTGCATCCAGGTCTTTCACTAGAAAGATAACCAAGACCCACTCTGGCGCCACATACCCATAAAGGGCGTATGTCGCCGTTTACTCTATCTGAAAACGCATAACGAAAAATCTGGCATTTCGAACTCCACCGCAGATCACTGCTGATTATTAGACTAAGGGAGCTAGAATATCCCGTGAAACTCCGGAGGCAACACTGATTCCACTTTTCTTGGAAACGTGTCACTCAGTGGTCTGCGAATGGCCCTTGCTTGCAGCTTAAAAATTGATGATGAAGTGTTACTACAACCTGGGGAGTATAGTTGGTTTAATTTCATTGCTTTAAAAGGAAGATCCATGAATTACTTACTTGCTTTTACAGTGCCCGAGTTCTACACATACTTCAAAAAAGCACTGTTGGGTGTATGTGAAATGTATATATTATGATTTTGCTTGTTTCATGGGGGTAATAAACTGCATGGGGCTAAGTTGCCAGTCAAAATCCCAAATGAATGTTGTAGAATTTCCTTTTATGACCCTTTAGATGTACTGACAGATTCATCTGTTGATAGCGCTATTGGATATTGGATATGTCCTATAACTAAATGGTCACCAGTCAGGAGATGATCCACTTTCACCAATTGTTTGCTAACTAGTAATATCTTCAAAGTCCTTCATCAACCTGGCTGTTTGGATACTGGAAAGCAGGTTGAGGTGGAAAGTGCCTTGAGCAGTTCTCAACTTTAGGTTAAAGGATGGAATAGGAAAATATCAAAGAGTATCAGTTTGGTCGTGACCCTACTCGTATGTCTTCATTTTTTTCCTTCACGTTCCTAGTGGAACACTGGGCTTCAAGCTGGTGGCTTGAAGTTTGTGTAGCCGTGTTTATTTTTACAGAATGAGTTTGCTAGCCTCATGCCTAACCTTTCCTCTTTACCAGCATTATTCCCGGCTTAGCGAGGTAAACAAGTGCGTCGGCCGGGGATCGAACCCTGGACCTTGTGCATGGTCGGCGAGCGTCCTAACCAATGTGCCACCAAAGTATGTCGTCATGATGGTACATAATGGCTGTGAGATATATTCTGCAACACATAAACTAACAATGAATACGTTGGTGATGCAGATTAGGAAGTGGCACCTTATCGTACCTATGAGTTGCAAGTCCGTCAGTAGTATGTATCCTAATTGCTCTCTGGCTTATATTGTAACTTATGTTCCTTATGTAGAATCCCTGTCCAGGCTTTACTGAGCCATATCAATTTCACTAACTCCACTGCTGTCCATGCCAGGTGTCAACCATATTTCTTGCTGTACCACTATTCTGAGACTCAGATAAAGGTACGTGTACCTGAGTTTGGGCATACTTTCCTGGCAATCCCCTCACGCTACTATGTAGGCACTTGAAATTGATACTCAATACTTCGCCCAGCCGTGAACTAGCTAATGGAGAGGAAACTGCCCAGTGATGAGTCGATATTCGAACTATTCGACAGATTGCAGTTGAACCAGCCTGATATATTTCTTCTCCTAGTTTTGCAGAAACATAAAGACAGTACTCCAATCTTGTCTGAAGTCCCTCTAGTGTAACGGAGCCATAAGAACGCATTTTAACCTCAGTTTGCTACCTCCTAAGCGTTCGAAGACAGCTTTCGCAGCATTGCATGTCTCTGTCAAACCTACATTTTACCTCCTACCAACAGCGAGACACTTTCGTTAACCACTACTACAAAATGGATTTTACTACCAATGGCCACGGCGAACTGACTGAAGTTTAAGGGCTTACTGGCAAAGTTAAACTTTAGACACCACTAACAACCAATCAGCAAACGCCCTTGAACGGACCAGTCACATTAAAGAGGCATATATGATGAATGCAAATGTATATTTGTAGAAAAAAGCATAAAATAGAGAATAAAAAAGTTACATGGGAGTGCTTTTTTCACGTATTTCACGTTTTTGACAAATCGCTGTTTTGTTGTGTTATTCACTTCAAGAACATTTTAAAAAAACTTTAACTTGACTTTTGTCTGTTAAGTTTTGATTTTAACCACTTATATAGTCTATATTGGGTAAATTGTCTTGGCTGTTTCCAGTAGAAGTTCATTATGTCAAAAGTACCACATAAATGTAATAGGGCGGAGTGTTACTTTTTGGTAGATGATGGAATACAGTGTAATAACTGTGAAAAGTGGTATCATAAGATGTGTACTGGATTACGTCCAGCTGCATACAAACGTTGTACTGCTCCAACATCCCACTGGATGTGCAGAATGTGTTGTTCCCCAAAGATGACCTTAATAAGGGAGGCTCACGAACTGCTGTCTAAAGCCATGGAACTTCCTGATGATAGCGTGGCTAGTAAGAGTGACACGGACTGCCCGTCTGAAGATGAAGCAGTAAGTGCCATCATGAATGTTATCACACCGGCGGTTACTATCCCAGTTACCCCGGAAGTAAAACCTACTAGGCGTTCGAAGCGTCTTAGTAAGCGAAAAGGTAACAAAACGGAAGCTGTAAACAGCATCTCAGAACCAGAGAACACCGTAAGCGAAGTTCACCATGAAGGTGGTGCAGACACTGATCTTGATTGTACCATCAAAAACTGCAGCAGCCCTGAGAAGCAACTGCAGGCAGATGATAAATGGGTAACAAAAATAAGCAGTCGGAAGAAATATAGTAATATTGATGGTAGGCAAACGTCTGTCACCTGTAGCCAGGCTGCATCAATAGTGGTGAGAAAGGACGTAGCCACTGCTAAATACGACAAGCTCTCCTTAGACTCTAACATAATTGTTGGAAATTTGGAAGAGTCCAAAGAATCTGATCCCGTGAAAAGGCACGATCACGACCTTAAATTAGTGAGTAGTATTATAAGGAAGATGCTCCCAGCGAATTTCCCTGGAGTATCGATTAAAAAGCTGATTAGAATAGGCAAAAGAGATGATGAATGTTCTAGTCAGCGTAGGTTGCTTAAAGTAGTCTTAGGTTCTCCTGATGAACGGAATCATCTACTGGCTAATGTACACAACCTTGCCGGGTCAGGAATTTCAGCCAGACCTGATTTATCTCTTGAAGACAGACTTAAACGAAAAGAAGTTTTGTCCCAGCTAGAAACAAGACGTAAAAATGGTGAGACTAACCTTAAACTGGTGGGTTTTCAAATAGTCAGGTCTTGGAAACGTATGCTTCCAAGACCTGTGTGGATAAGCCAGACCGCATAGGAAGCCTGAAGGTAGTGTACACTAATATACGTAGTATCGGGAACAAATTTCACGAGCTAGGTGTATTAGTAGAAGACCTTAGCCCAGGTATTGTGGCCATTACTGAAACATGGCTGGTTTCGGGATTAGATGACACACCTGAGCTATGCGGATTTAGTTGCTTGCGCAGCGACAGAGTTAAGGGTCGTAGAGGTGGCGGGGTTGCTCTGTACATCAACAACTCCCTACATGTTCGTTCCGTGAAATCTGAAGCTCATGACAGTGGGACAGGTGAGGTAATTAGCTGTGAAGTAAGCTTTGCAACCGGCACTCTACTCATTGGAGTTCTGTATAGAAGTCCCTATTGTCAGTGTGATGACTTCATTTTAGATCACCTCAAACAATGGAGTAAACACAGTAGCTGTCTTATTCTAGGTGATTTTAATGCACCTCATATAGACTGGGTAGCTGTCACATCTCCAGGATCCGCTGATAAGTTTGACAGCCGGTTACTCTTGACAACCATGGAAAATGCCCTGACACAACATGTCTTAGGTAGTACAAGATTCGGTTCTACCCAAGGATCTTCCTTGCTGGACTTAGTGCTTACTCATGACAACGACGACGTGGATGGTCTAGTTATTCATCCACCTCTAGCAAACAGTGATCATGGGGTGTTAGATTTTAACTTAAGGGCTGGCAATTTAGTCAGTTTTCAACCCAAATCCCGGCCTAGTGTTTGGCATGCTGACATAGTGGCTATAAAGGAGCGTGCTTCAACTGCCGACTGGTCAGTCAACATTGTCTCATCCATTGAAGATGAATGGGATAGATTTAAGAATACACTTGAGAGGGTTACCACTGATCTCATCCCCTGGAGGGTTCCTAAAAGGCCAACAAATCGGCCACCATGGATAAATAGACAAGCTATAACACTCCTGAGACGGAGAAAAAGGTTCTGGAATCTCTTTGTTTCTACTGGGCTACAGCAGTTCCGGCTGAAATACTGTGAAACCAGAAACCAGTGTAAAACTTTGATCCA